TATATAGACACTAAAAGAATAAAGTATTATAAAAAAGTTATGGTAATAGCAAAGCAGTAGAACAAACGTTTATTGTATTGCCAGTTTTAATAAAAATAGTGTTGTTTTAAGAGATCGATTTCAATCAGTAGGTCCTGATCACGATTCCTTTTGACTTATTCTGTTTTGAATGACTCCATTGAGGATTGAAGCACATCACTGTACAAGAAACATAGCAATATAATCTTGCAAAGTGTTATATAATAGCTGTCAATTTGATGGAGCTGCATTAGAGGTTCTTCCAAACATACATACCTCGCTGCTGTCTAATCATCGGCTTTCTTGATCAGAATTAACTGGCAACACATTCAGAAACTGACACTGGTCGCCATTAAGGAAACATAATACATTTTGTGATCTAATTACCTTATAATATTAATTACACTTTTGCATCGTTACCTTCGTAAGTAATAGCAGCCTTGGATGTAATAAACTCGTGATGCTGTATCCTCAAATCGTAAAGCAGCTTGCGTGACGTCAGCGACCATACCAGCAGTGGGAAAGGTTTTTGGGTCTCGTCACCGCATACCAGGATTCTGTGGGTTTAAAATAAATTATTATTACAAAGATCGAACATACAAAAAATTCTTCTTGGATCTAACTGGACTCAAACCTGCGTCTACAAGGACAAACTAGAGCCACGGTTCACCAACTGAGATACACATCCAGTCAATACACCGTATGAATTTTTCTAAATGTTTATTACCCTATATAATAGTGTATCGGGTTTTTTCGGCTTTCATCGCCGTAAGCGACATCTGTGAGAGATCTATGAAGCTTCTTACTCAGCCGGTATCTTTATAGCTGGCCAGAGATTGACGAAAGATGTCGTGGTATTCATTTTTTATTTTTATTAACACACGCAGGTTCGACCACTGTGAGATCGAAGGAATCTTTCTTCGTGTTCGATCTTTGTATAAATAAATAATAAATAAAATCAATATTATTATTATATTACTGTCCGCCATTTTTTCAACTTACTTACAAACTTATTATATAAAAAAATCAGGTATTTTGTTGCAATTAAAACCAATAATAAATGAGTGAAACTAACCTTCCGTCACCAGAAACCAGTAACGAGTTGAGGAATCGGTCCTCACCAACTTTGAACGTCGTCACGCAGTCACCTGTAACGGTGATAAGTTAGTGTTAAGATGCAAAAGATTGAATTGATTGAATTGGTACACCTATACGTTACCTTTATAAGCTGTCGGTCTGATCAAATAAGCTTAAGTGGAAACTTGAGAGAATCGAATCGAGAGATCACATAACCTATTGAAGGGAAAAAGGGACTCAGCGACATTTTTGAATTTCTTTCAGTGAAACGTTTCAAAATTTGCAAATTCAGAAAGAAAATCAATAAAATTGCTAAAACCAAATTTCAATGTCATCTTCTGCCATAGTCCGTAAGCGAGGGCTATGTAGTTCATAATTGTATATACAATAAAGTAATTTTCATTTTTAATTTCCTAAGTGTATCTTATCTCGGATGTCTATTCTTGCATTTTTTGGTCGGAAGCCTTTACAAGCCTTTGCTTTCACTATCCTTCTGGAGGCATTTTGTATTGGTTACAGCCTTTTTTTGTAGTCCTCTTTCAGTGCTGCTTTTTTCTTTTTTTTTTCTAGCCAACCCCTTTATTTTAAATACTAACACAATACTAACCGGTCTCAATGTTCATGAGATTGACGTACATCCGGTTCCTCGAGAGCGCCACGAGGTGCTTGGAGTCATGCATCCCGTAGTAGGGCATCTTTTGGTTCATCACACCTTTTAGGGCCACTACGAATTTGCCCTGGGGAAGTACACGAATATTTTTGTAATTATGGATGAAATTGGAACAAAGGGTTGAATGGAAGTGGAATAATGGAGATTTTATTTGAAATACCACATGGCTAGTACTTCTGGAGTTTTCTTTCTTCCTGGTTTAAGACCAGGTACCTGTTTCGATTTCTGGCAAATTATTTATTATTATTTAAATAACTATACCTGATCCAAGTCATAAACTTTAAGTTCCCTGCGACAGAGCACGACGCATCTGTATTCATCGATCGGTACCAAGTTTATAGGATGCGTCACTCCCACCAACTTGCGGACTAGCTGACATCTGTAATTATAATTGCGTTGTTGTAGTGCGGGCAGAGTTATGTGTCAGTAATTTCAAAATGCAAATACGGTTATTCGCGGTTATTTCTAAATTAGAGGTTCAAATAAATATATTCCAAACGTTCAATAAAATGATTATTTAATTAACATCTCCATGCATATGGTTTCGCTCCTCCATTACGCATATAAAATCATCGCAAGATTTACAAAAATGTCTACAAATGTTTATGTACAAAATAGTAACCACTACTGTTTCTTTCTCATTATTGTATGTTATCTGGCGAATCAGGCTTATCAATGAGTAGCAGAGTTTAATTAATGTGACGATTCGCCTCGATTTCAATTTGTAATTTATTTCCATTGAAATTGCAAGATATGTCCATTAGTCTTGTAATGACTGTATAATGGGATATATTATTTTTTTCGATGTAAAAAGAAATGTAGTATTTTTTGTTTACTTACTGACTGATATCCCAAACACAAATCTCTGACCTTTCAGTAGACACTGTAGCAACAAATTTTCCCCTAGTTTCAAACCTTACAATGCAATCATAGGTCTTGCTATCAAAATCTTCAACAAACGACACCTCCTTCTTCTCCTTATGCTCTATTACTTTCCAGAACTCCTCATTGGCAGGATAAAACGTTGGTACTGGAGGATCTTGAATAATATCTAACCATTCTTTAACTATTTTCGTTTTAACTTCAATGCGTTCTCTTTGCCTTTTCTCCATAGTCATTCTTAAACAAGTATAAAATTGTCTGTAATCATAATCTAAAGCGTACGAATTAGCTTCAAATAATTCCTTCAAAATGTCAATGTGCTCTGGAAGTGGGTCTAAGTGAATTAAAGCTAGATCTTCTAGGTAATATCCTGTGTCAGTTGCAGCTAGTTTCGCGTATATCCAGTCGAGATTTGTAAAATATTCTTTTCTTGAAAATAATTCTTGGTCGTTTTTTAGAAGATGGTAGTGTTGGAAGGGTAATTCGTCCAATTTTCTGGTATTGTAGCTGAAAATAGATTGTAAAATGTGAGTCGAAACTTATATATATGGTTGTAACCGTTTAAAATTGACAACATATATCTATCCTAACATAAGGTATAAGCTTACCAGGTATCTGAAAATTGATTTTCTTGCGATATCAAGCGGCCGGCCATCTTCGGGTCATTTTCAGTAAACCATTTGCCCTTAAAACAAGATTTTATAAGTGTTATAACGGAAGGTAGTTATTATCTTGGTAATTGTTAAATTTATGTGCAATTATAACAAAGATACCAAATCATTGACGTCGAGGTAAAATATCTTTATCCTAAACTTTTCATTAATCTCCCGTAGTAGCCTTTTTAATCTATCAATCGACACTATCGCTTATGGGCTAAAGCCTACGTATTAGAACTTCAGCAATACTATTGTCGTGAATTATGACGCGGTTTGTTTTAGTTTTGTAATATCAGCATTAACAAATTTAGTCTATTATGATACCTAAGAGTTGGGAACTGCGAAAAAAGATAGTCTATTACAGGCTGTTGTAATAGAAAATAATGTCGCATATATAATTTACATTACGACAAAACTTAGGCGTGGCGACAACTGTACTCGATGCTGATGACGCCTGGCCAGACGTCAATTTTGGACGCACTGTTGAAGCGTGCTTACTTTTATTTTGCAAGAGCACAAGCAATATTTACCTCATAATAATCGACAAGGGTCTGCCGTACAGTGTCCTCACAATCTGCAAGGTATCGATCCCTCGCCGCACCCGCAAGTGCGGCGTCGCGCCATCTAGCAGCGCCGCGGGAGTCCCAGCGCAACCACGGTGATAGTAGCGCTGCTAGTTGTGGCCAGAATAACGACGCTGGTGCCCAGGGTACTAAAATTGAGGCAAATATGTGCAATATCCATAAAATACTGAAAAAAATCGCTACTCGAGATCTATATCAATCAACTTCACTTGCGTAATTTGGTAACGTTGGTGATTGTGATGTTGAGGTTTTACCTTGGTTTATTACAGAGTAAGATCAATATGAAACCTTCCTGTAACTATTATAGACCTGAGAATTAACTCTCCAATATTACTCAGCACCTCAGTGCCAGTATTATAACCCTTAAGTATGGGTGCTGTTTGTAGTTTTACTTACAATAAGTTTCTTCACTTCTAAAAAGATCATCATGGGCCAATATGTCCAATATTTCTGTATCATCAAGACCTCGTCTAGCCGCAGTCAAAAGCGCCAAACAGGTCTTAACTCTTTCTGCGCCCAGCGCTTGCTCAGTTGTTATTAAGATCTGGTTCAGTTGGCCTTCTAAATCCTCGCAGATTACTAGTTCAGTTGTTGTTTCTGGTTCAGATTGCTCCGTAAATGTTTCTGCTGATAGTGATATTTGCCAGGCTAGAATCTGAAATTTTTTATTCAGAGTCAGAATGTATACAAATTTTAACACAACTTTGGGATTCGTATATAGTTGTGTGGTTAAATATAAGTCTTATAATAATTTTATGTCAATGTGACCTATCCAAAGCTTTTGATTTTGCATTCTATTACTAAAGTATGATGACTTTTGTCAAAGGTTCCTTATATGTGCCGTCTGCACATTTGTGTTTTAGACTTTTTGAAATCGTATCTAGATGTCCAAATTCAGATTAACACAAGGTCATCAGGGCCTGCATGGCATAGGAGTTGCTCAAGGTGCAGTTCTAAGTCCATTTTTGTTTTTAGACGTTAAGTAATAATTTTTATTCTTTACTTCAAAAGTCAGCCATGATATAATACAAATTACCTTACCTTGGCATATAGCGGCAATGTACATTTTTGCACGGCCTTAAACGCTTCCTCAGGCGGCGCCGCAGCCCCTGTTTTGCTATATGTCGCCGCACATGCGGCTAATACTGCTTTTGCCTCTTCTGGCCCTACCGGCGGTGCTCGTACCACTTTTGGACCGTCTTCGGAGGATAAAACTGCCATAATGGCCGAGCTGGAGGGTTCATCTTTTTCTAAAAATAGATACAAAATTAAAAAAACCTTTTTTTGTTTGTGTTTCCCAAACGTCTATAAAAACCTACTCTGTTAAAAACTGAATAATGAAATATATTTATTTATTAACAACCTTCAGTGACAGTGACGATCATCTTAACATTTTCAGGCAGTTTTGAAGGCAGCCATCTTGCGCCTCGCAATGCGTCTGCGCCCACCACGGCTAGAAGTACTGGTCTGCTTCTACCTAACACTGTGAGAAGGCGGGCTAGGGCTGTCGTAAGGTGGGCAACATCCTGAAAAAATTGGTTAAGAGACTCACCGAATGATTACTAACACTAACACTGATGTTCAAGTTCAAAATATAGTTTTTAATGACTTTTTATACTGTAAGAAAAATCTGCCATGGTTTATATACCAAGAGTTTTAGAATTAAATAATTTAATATTTCTAAAACTCTTATAAAACAGCTCACCAACATTGTCTGGTTCTGTGTCGTGTCTTAAAAGAGCCTTTATGACATCACCGACCAGTTTCTTCTGTTTTATTTGGTCTTCGTTTTAGTCAACATTGTTTGTATTTATGCGCAAAAATGGCATTCAAATGATGAATTATGGCATCTTTAGATACTATTCGCAGTGATATCATTATACTAAAAAAACCCAACCAAGCACCAGGGGAATAATCGGCGTGATGGTAGGGCGAATGTAGTACAGTTATTCGGGGTAACTAAGCGCAGTGGGTGCACAGGAGCTAGCTATAGGTATATGTGGGCGGTTTTTTTGGGTCAAATCAAGGCGCCTCTCAAATCTGTCTTTGTTGTTTACATCCTTAGATTTTGTTATTCAATTTACCTGATTACGCTATATTTTTAGAAAAAGTTTGTAGAAAATCAGTGGATAATTTTTATGCTTAGAGAGGTATACAATTTCATATATACGTATATACATAACTTGTTTCATGTAAGTTCGTCTTAATTTATTTCGTGTGATAAAAGCACTTTTGACGTCTGCTCACATGCGGCCTTATAATACCAAGGGTACCATAACAATATAAAAATATAATAAAAATAAAATAAAATAAAAAGGTATTTATTTCTCTACAAAACATAAGGAACACAATACTTAAAAATGAATAAAAAAAACAATTGAGTGAGGTGATTGCTGATTTTTAGTCTTCACCTAGCTAGCTGTTCGTTTGCTGCACCAAGCTAATATGCGGAGTGTACATGAAGTAATAACCTAACTTTAGTAATAACAATATGAATATTATATAATGGTAGGTGGAGAAATAGTATAGGCTACTTACGTTTCGTCCTCTATAAACAGTCCCTGTATACAGCACATGGCATTGATCCACAATAGATTTGAGCAGCTGATGGGAGCTGCTAGACTGCGGCGTCAGACCCACGAATCTACAATTACAAATACATTGTTTACATCCCGATCAAGGTGCCAGTTTTTAGTTTTACGGTATTAGTATTATTAATATATACTTCACGCTCTTCACCAGGGTTTGAAGTGATAATTTATTATTTAGAATAATAATTATCAATGGATAATTATTACGACAATTATCACGTTAATTATCTTTGTACAGGTACCTCTTCGTGTTTATAAAATTAATTGGAATATACCTTGATAATTACCTTCGTGTTTATAAAATTCATTGGACAACAAAATGCTACTGCTAGTAGTAGCAGTAGAGCTCCTTGTGAAAGAGTTCGTCTAGGGAAGTACTGCCACCTTGCCTTTTTCTGCCGCCAAGCAGTAATGTCAGTAATGTGTTCCGATTTTGAAGGATAATTACAGAAATTACAGGCACATGGGACTTGTCAACTTATGTCTCAGGGTGACGGGCGCAGTGGCAGTGCCCCTCAGATCTTTACGATTTAAAGCTCTGAGTGGCACTGCAACTGTTATGTAGCTTACTATCCGGCGCACGACTTGTTCGTCTCATGTTATAAAAATGTCGTGCTACGAGTTCTTATCCGAGACGTATCCAAACGTGTCAAATGTCAATCTAAAAAGTCACAAAACCAAATCTCAACGATTTTTAACAAATATATATATATATATATATATAATATAAATATAATGAGGGTCTGTTCAAAGATTTTGAAGACAGAACCCATAGTTGACGTCGATTTTTATTCCTTAACACTTACCTAATAATGATAGCGAGGTCAGGCATCGGAGTGGGAGCCATAGTGACGGCTCTTGCCACGAGTGTCGCTTTCCCGCAGCCTGCACCGCCTATAAGCGCTAGTGGTACGGTGCTGTCGCCGGTTATATACCTGCACATAAATAAAAATTTAAAATAAACGGTTGGGAAATATTGTTAACTCGAAATATAATATTTACATTATTTGAACTTTAGCTCATCATTATGATAAAGTAATAAGGTAAAAATTCGACATTTTATCCCAATTAGGACAAGACATTAAGTATCTGATCAATTGGAGACTTGTATGATCAAAAGTTTTTGGCTAAATTAATTTATATTTCTTCTATAGTTATTTGTTGAAATATATACTCTTTCTACATCCTTTAAGTTCGGATTCTCATAATAAGAGCTATAGGCCTGATAATACACTCCCGGACAAAAATTCGGTATTAATAAAAATAAATACTCTAAGCTTAAAAAAATGCTTGATCGATTAAAACCTCTTAATGCAAATTTGAAACTGTTATAGGGATATGCTAAGGTAATAGAAATAATATATTATAAGATTATTAAAAAGAAAGTACCGTTAACTTTAACAATGCGAGTGTGACGTCTTGCATCGAGATCGGTTCAGGGGGTCTATAGGACCAAATTAAAAGTATGAAGCTGAATTTTATTTCATTAAGATAATATACTGGTAAGGAAAAAGACAATAAGAGCTTAACTACTAGAAATAAAATTGTGTCCCCGCGGCAAGTAGTCCAAGATGCTGGCAACATTCCCCCTTTGTATTGCTATGCTAATGCGTTGGGCAAGCTTCATTCATTCATTCATTTTAGACCCCACGGTAGGTCAATGACCCCACCACGATAACCAGTTAAGTGCCCGCGAACGCATGAATGCGTGTTCGTCTCGGCGGAAATAGCCGAAGGTGACATTGCGCGTGAGTAACGGCGTTACCTTATTATTTATTCAAATTATAATCGCAACATACTAAATGTCATGTTCCTGAGTTCTTTCTGAAAATTATAATGTGTAAAATCGGGGAAAACTTTTTCTTCGTCGATAACAATATTTTGAATTCCATATAAAAATAAAAATGCTAGGTGGCTCGAATTATGTATCCGGAAGGGTATTAAGTGTTTTACATGAAGGCTTACGTTTTGAGTTCGTTGAGGGTGATCTCGCGGTTGGAAGTACATTGCGCTGCGGTTTGACAGAAGGAAAGGTGCTCGTTCAACTCCTCGAACAAACTGAAATTTATTTATTTATGTAATACAAGCTTACAACATAAACTAAAAAAGTAATTAGTAGGTAATACAAAATGACCGACTGCAAAAGTTTGCATACCCGTTTTCTCTGTGTTTTGTCTTCATTGGAATTACATATAATGTGCCAAGTTTTATTGAAAGGGTGAAATTTAACCGGATTCATCCCCTAATTTGTCATCTTTAGAGGTGGAATATTTTCTTCGAATTTGAATGGTACTACTACTGACGTATTTCCACAAAAAAAAAACACAAAACAATACCAACGAAGTGTGGACCTCCTTTTTTTACCCGCTATGTACGTATATGAGGTATGCATGTTTGTTAAAAAAAACTTAGTCTTATTTACTAGGAAACGTGAAGTATGTAATTTTTTAACTAGATATCCAAACCGTACAGCTGGCCCCTCCCATAAGACTACTTGCTTTTATAGGAATTGCTATAACATGTCCATACAAATATATAATGCTTTGCCTGCAGCTATCCCAGATTTACCTATCAAAATATTAAAAAAAAAGTTATTTGATTTGCTATGTGATCTGTGTTTATACAATATTTTTTAATAATAAAAAGAAATTGACATTTTGTTTGTATTTGACACTTTGGTTATATTTGTGCTGTTCTTACTTCTTTGATATTGTTTAATTTATGATCTTGTTGCTGTTGCTATTTATTGGCATTTTTACTTAATTTTATACGACATTGCTTATTTGACAAATTGTATAATTTTAATTTATGACATTATTTAACTTCAATTTATTTTAATATTTGCGTGCCAGTATCTGGTGCAACACGTGTTCTTGACACCTTGTATAATAATATCTTTTCTTACCGTGTTTGCTTGCGAATAAATATTTCATTTCATTTCATTTTCATTTTCATTTTCATTTTCATTTCATTTCATTTCATTTCATTTCATTTCATTTCATTTCATT